TTTGCGACCCCATGGACTGCAGCACATTAAGCTTCCCTGTCCTTCACTATCTCCTGGAGCTTGCTCAAACTCATGTCCATTGAGTCAAGGATGCCATCCAACCATCTCATCCTCTGTTACCTCCTTCTCCTCCTGCCCTCAATCTTTCCCAGTATCAGGGTCTTTTCTAATGAATCAGCTCTTCGCATCAGGTGGCCGAAGTGTTGGAGCTTCAGCTTCAGGATCAGTCCTTTCAATGAATATTCAGGACTGATTTCCTTTAGGATGGTATTTGTAATCCTTTAGGGTGTGTAATGTATGGCCAAGGTGTGCCTAATTCTCTCACCACACTTTCCTTGCATCCACCTTATTTTCTGAAATTGTGCTGTAGACCCTCTCTACCCCTCCTCTCCTTTGGCAATCTCATGGCTTCATTGATTTTATCTCTGCAGAGGACATCCAATGCATATTCCCAACTTTGATCTTCATTCTGAACTTCAATCCCATGTTTTTACTTGATGATCTTTTCTACCTAGATACCTCACATTAGAAGGACTTTCACAAAAATCATCTTTCCTTCCATAATTTCTCTTCTTCCTATAGACCCTAGTCATTTAGGCTTTAATTTTGACTTTCACCTCTCCATCTTTGACTCCTTAACACTTGTTCCATCATGTGAACCCGAAGCTGTTTCATGAATAGGCATGTGATTCAACTATGGCCTAGGAGATGGGAGGGAAGTGAGAGGGGAAGTGAAAGGTGGTCCTGGAGAACATTTTCCCTCTCCTTGTGCTGTGCTTAGTCGTTCAGTTGTGTCTGACTCTTTGTGACCCCATGGACTGTAGCCTCCAGGCTTCTCTGTCCATGGGGGTTCTCTATGGGTTGCCAGGGAGTTACCATGCCCTCCTCCAGGGGATCTTCCCAACCCAGGGATCGAACCCAGGTCTCCTGCATTGCAGTCGGATTCTTTGTATTGTCTGAGCCACCTGGGAAGCCCTTCCCTCTCTTCAGAAGAACTCTTTCTTCCTCTGCACATCATGACCTCAAGAAATGATGCCTGGGACTGCCATTACCATCTTGCTATTATCAGCTATAGAAGGATGCCAACACCCAAGACATTAGAGCAGAGATGGCAAGAACGTGTTCTTTGATAATATTATCAAGCTTCTGAATCTTTCAAGTCTGAAGGAAAACACTACTTTGTAATTACCAAACTTGTGAAATATAAATTTTCTTATTGCTTAAGATTGAGCAAGCTCTGGGGGTTGGTGATGGACAGGGAAACCTGCCATGCTGCAGTCTATGGGGTCACAAAGAATCAGACACAACTGAGAAACTGAACTGAACTGAAGCCATTTTAAATTGGAATTTATTATATCCTTACTTATATCAACTTTATATCAACTCACTATCTCTCATTTGGGCTATTGCAAAGCTGTGTAGTCTTTATGCCCTCAAACCTAATCCATTTCATAATCTGCTGCTAGATCATCCTTCCTAGAGAAATATTTGATCGTATCTTTTGTCTTTTCCAAAGACCTTTAGTAACTTCCCATTGCCTAGAGATTAGTCCAAGCTCAGCAGCTTACCGTTTGTGGTTTTGTACACCCCTATATTATTGTAGCTTAGTTGGTAAAGAATCTGCCTGTAATGCAGGAGACCCAGGTTTGATTCCTGAGTCAGGAAGATCCCCTGGAGAAGGAAATGGCAACCCACTCCAGTATTCTTGTCTGGAGAATCCCATGGACAGAGGAGCCTGGCAGGCTACAATCCATGGGTTCACGAGAGTCGGACACGACTTAGTGACTAACCACCACCACCACACCCCTATAGATCCCACCTGCCAATGCAGGTTAGACCCAAGAGACATGGGCTCAGTTCCTAGGCTGGGAAGATCCCCTGAAGGAGGGCATGGCAATCCACTTCAGAATTCTTTCCTGGAGAATCACATGGACAGAGGAGCCTGGCCGGCTGTCGTCCACAGTGTCACACAGAGTCGGACAGGATTGAAGCGACTTAGCACTCATAGGCACAAGCGCGGTCTCTTGAATATACCTCTCCTTTTCCCAATTTGTTCACATTTCCTCTGCCTGGAATATTCTTACTCCATTTCCACTTGCCTATACACAATCTTCTGGAAATTGTCCCTGATGTTTCCCCTACTGCCAGTCTATGCAAGGTAGTTTCTCCTTCCTCTAAACTTCTGTGGTGTTTATTACTCTCTACTTTGTATTGACGTTATTGGTATTTATACAGTGTACTATTCTTGTCTACTACCAGTGCTGTACAATAGAACTTTCTGTGATGATGGTTAATGAGCACTTGAGATATGGCTAATGCCACTGAGGGCCTGAATTTTTCCTTTTAATTCATTTAAATATAGCTATCGGTAGCTAGTGGCTACACAGTACTAGACTGAAAGGCTCTTGAGTGTAGTACAGAGATTGTATCTTGTTTTATCTCTGTAATCATTGGAGAGAGCATCTGAACGGCACAGTATGTTTTGTTCCCTCTTGTTTTCTCCATAGAGCCTTGTGGATAATAGACACTGCATATTTATTGGATCACTAATTATGGATATCACATTTACCAAATACATAAGTAAGGGTTCCTAACTATTTCTGTTCCAAATTTAAGTAATTTAAATAAGGGAGAAGGAAAAGTTGAATGACCCAAACTCCCATGTGTTACTGAGAAAGATGGCTGGTTCCATTGTGAAGGGATATCTGTCTTTCGCTATCTTTCATTGTGCAAGAGTATCTCTATCTCACAATATTCCTTCTTTTGGTTAAGTAAGGAACTCTGTGATTTAAGGCTCAAATGTTTTATTTTGCAGTAATTCCATATAGTAAAAAATTGCAAGAATAGTATGGAAATTCCCATATTCACCAAGTTTTTAAAAAATATTTAAACGTATTTTAAAATTTTTAAATAGCCATGTAGTTGCCAAGGGCTGTGGGAAGGCAGTGAGGGAATTAGTGTTTAGTGGATGTAGTTTCAATACTGCAAGATGAAAAAGTTCTAGATATTCACAATAATTGAATATATTTAACACTATGAAACTCCAATACTTTGGCCACCTCATGTGAAGAGTTGATTCATTGGAAAAGACCCTGATGCTGGGAGGGATTGGGGACAGGAGGAGAAGGGGAGGAATGATCCAGAGGATCTGGAATGATCCAGAGGAAGAGAGGAAGGTAAATCATTAGTATAAAATGACTTTACACAGAATTTTGGAATAGCAGAAAGAACTAGGCTAACCACGTTATTTCCTACCAGGGTACTGTAGGGGATCCCAGTTTTAATGAATAAGACAGAGGATGAGATGGCTGGATGGCATCACCAACTCGATGGGCATGGGTTTGTGTAAACTCCGGGAGTTTGTGATGGACAGGGAGGCCTGGCGTGCTGCGATTCATGGGGTTGCAAAGAGTTGGGCACGACTGAGTGAACTGAACACTACTAAACCATACACTTAAAAATGGTTAAGATGGTAAATTTAAGGTTATGATTTTTACTACCCCTCCAAAAAAAAAAAAAACCCAGACTCCCACTTTCCAGCATGAGAACAGTTAAACCATCCTTGAAAAATAAGCTATAATGTTGTCATAAACTCCAAAAAAGAAAATATCTTTCTTTTGTCCTGTGAAAGATCCTTCTTGGAATCCATCTGTTCTTGCATTTTGGAAATCTCACTTTTTATTAGTCCTTTGTTATGGCTCATTTTAAGTTCTTTGTTTTAGAAGATAACCACTTTTCCATCATATTTGAACTTCAACAGAAATTGATTCTTCAGTAAAAAAAAAAAAAAATTACCTAGATTCATCAGTTTTTATCAATCTTTCTGTATACGTGAATGGGATATGTGAGAAATGTATACATATGCATGAGGGTTATAATTTCTTTTTTCTGATCCATTAGGGAAAAAACTGCATACATAAGTTTCCTTTACCCCTTAATATTTCAGTGTGTTTTCTTGTGAACAAGGATAGTCTCATACACAATATATTCAGGAAACTTAAATGGACACCGTACTTTATAGTTCCACCCACACTGATTATCCCAATAATGTCCTTCATAGCACTTTCCTCCCCCAATAAAGGATCCAGTTCAAGGTCACAAATTGCATTTAGTTGTCAGGTCTTTAGTTTCCTTTAATCTGCAGTTTTGTTCTGTTTTCAGGACACTGACAGTGTTTTAAGAATACAGGCCAGTTATTTTGTAGAATTTTCCTCTACTTGGGTTTGATGCTTCTCATCATTAGATCCAGGTTAAAGCTTTTCAGCATTGCTTCAAGGATGTATTGTTATACATACCTTCTCTGCCACCCACTGGTTCTTAGACTTGAGCTATTCATACTTATTTGTATTCCTAAGATTATAAAATATTATATTTCTATTAAAATGTGTATATTTATTTCATTAAATAAATTTCTAACAAGTTTGGATAAAATACATAATTCTACCATTTCAAAAGCAATCATTGGCTTTATATTTTATAGTGGTTTTGCTTAAATTTATTAAATAATGGATTCAATTGTTCTAAACTCATTTCATCAATTAATTTAACATTTAGTATGGATATGGTTCCTCGGAGAGAACTAATGTAAAGTATTAAGTTTCAGTGATCTTTTTTATTATCCAACATTGAACACATTAAATCTATAGTCTTCCCATTTTTTAAAATCCTAATTTACTCCTCTTAATGATATCGACAATAGAAAAGTACTTAAATTCTGATATAGTAAGTAACTGAGTACTTTTGGCTTTTGATGTGAGGAAAGTTTTGAACTGGTGCCCTATCCCAATATTTCAAGGATTTTTACATGATACTGGCAAAAGTACCTTAACCATAGAGAATGTGTGTGTGTATGTGTGTGTACACGCACTTAAAGACTCTGGTTGTATCCGTAGAGAAGCCTGTACTTCTTAAAGGGGGTGTGTGTGTGTCTGTGTGGAGAAGCCTGTATTCTTAAAGGGTGTGTGTGTGTATGTGTGTGTGTATAGAGAAGCCTATACTTCTTAAAGGGTGTGTGTGTGTGTGTGACAGGGCTCAAGAAAACTCAAGAGCCCAACACGCTTTTCCAGACTCGAAGCTGCGAGCTCCGAGCCTTTTAGGACGTGTCCCGCACACCCTTGGGACGCCGCCGGTCCCCCGCTCGGGTCACCCCCATCAGCCTGAGGCCTCCTAGCCGCCGGCCTCAGAGGGGGTGTGTCTCCGCCCCGCAGCCGCCTCACACCCGCCTCCGCCGCAGGCCCACCTGCCGCCCTCGGCGGCCCGGCCGGGAGCAAGCGCGGGGCGGCCGCGGCGTCCGGTCCGCCCCCGGCCGGGACCTCAGGGCCCCCTTCCCGCGCAGCAAGGCCGGCTGCCCTGCAGGTCCCGCCGCCCGCTTCCGGACGGGTCGAGCCGCGGGGAGCGGAGTTCTTTTCTCCTTTCAACCCAAACTGCGACCGGCCCCCGTTGAGGGCGGGAGGAGAGGGGAAACATGCTCTTTCCCTCCACACACACATCCCTCCAAGTAACGGCGGCCGGGATAAAACTTCAAAAGTAGGATCCCGGGCCCTCCCGGAGCTGTTAGCCTCGACGCCCCTTCCCGCACGGCCCCGGCGGCCGCCCGCGCCTATCCGCGCGGCCCGGCAACGTTCTCGCTCCAGCCTTCGCAAGGCGGGCGTAGAGGCTCCGAGTGTCGGGGGAGGGGTGCAGGGCGGAGAAAGAGGGAGGTAGGGAGGCGAGCGAGCTGGAGCCGAGGAGCGGGGAGCGGCGACGCCACCCAGCCATCGTTTTTGATCTGCAGCGGCCGCCGGCGGGGCGACCCAGCCCGACCCCCCTCCCCTCCCCCTCAGCCACGAGCGGCGGCGGCGGCGGCGGCGGCCGGAGGGAGTTGGCGGCGGCGGCGGCCGATCGGAGGGGCTGAGCGGGGAGGGAGGGAGGGCTGAGGTGTCCCCCCTGCCGGGTGGAATCGGAGGCGGCGGCGGCGCTGGCGGCGGCTGTGGTGGAGGCGGCGGCGGCGGCGACGGTGGAGACGGCTGCCCTAGTGGGAGAGGCGGCGGCGGCGGCGGCGGCCGAGGAGGAGGAGGGGGAAGCGGCGGCGGCGGCGGCGAAGGGTAAGCGGACAGCGCTGCCGGGCCTCAGCGGGACCCCCAGTCCCGGCTCTCCCCTCATTTCCCCGCACCCCCCCGCCCTTTATCTGGAAGAGACTGCCGACTCGCGAGGCCCTTGCGGGGCGCCCGCTTCTTCCTCTCACTCTTCCTCTCCTCCGCCTCCTTCCTTCCCCAGTGGCGAGGTAGAGAGGGAGGCCCCCCAGGTCCTCCTGAGCGGCCGGGGGTGGGGAGCATCGGGCCGGGCCTGGGCTCTGGGGAGTAAGTGTGTAGGGGGAGGGGGAGATTCATTGGAGTCGGGCGCCGGGAGAGCCCCGGGTGGGGGAGGGTGCCAGGGGGTTGGGGAGGGCCCCTGCCTGCACCGGTGCCCCCCGGTCCGCCCCTTTGGCGTGTGTGAGATGGGGGGTGGGGGAAGGAGAACGCTTTTGGGGGGGAGTCGTGCCCCGAATCAAGATGACTTTGGGACGAGGGGGAAGACCGAGGGACTCTGGTGGTGGTAGTGGAGGGGAGATCGTCGTTTACCTTTCCAATATTGGTTTTCTGCAGCCTTTTTTCAAGTGGGGAGCCAGCCCCTCTGGGAAAGTGTGGCCCCTAGATTTCAATGGATAGATAATTCTAGCTTTCTGTCCGATCAGTCTCAAATCCTAAGACTGTGGTTGTGGCAGGAAGGCTGGAAGGGTCTTGGGTATCGCCGAACAGGTGACAGGTGTATCTTTCTGTGGCTGATGCTGTGGGATGGCCCGGGCAGGGTAGTGTACCACAGTGTCAGAGGCTGTGTGCGTTCGTATTTATGTGTTTGGCCACGTTTCATTCCATATATAGTATATTTGAGATGTTAGGTTTCCATTCTTCAAGTCAGCTTAATTGTTGTGGAGAAATTCTTCAAATGTTTCTGATAAGAGGGGTTTCCAGGAGAGTGGAGGGAATTTGCAGCTTCCCCGAGGTTTCTCAGGAGTCCGTGAGTTTCGGGTCGCCGGTACGAGGCCGTTTTGAGTGCTCTATTTCATTGGAAAGTTCTTGAACACTAAGGTCGTATTTGAGGCAACAATGAGGCAGTATAATTTTGCATCCATTTTGTCTGTTTTAGGTAGGTTTGTAAAAGTGTCAGACTTTAAGATCAGGTTGATTAACATTTTTATGAAAGGAATCACTTTGTGCTTTAGCTCACTCTGAAGAGTATGTTGCTCATTATGCAATTTCGGATTTGGCCGGGAATTTTGGTGGGCATGGAACAGAATTTTGCTTTCAGTTTTTACACTACTACTGCTTACCACACTTCTCGTACAGTGGCAGAGTATTGACACCTTTTAAAAAATATCTGAATTCCTTGTAACAGTGAAATCGTGCTTGATTTTAATCCTAGTTGGAAACTTTAGATTTTGAAACCATTACATTTTCTAATACAGACAGACATGCTTTTCATCTTGTGCGCTTTGGCTGAGCACTTAAATTAGAAACAATGGGAGGAATTGTTAGATAAATGAGTTACAAATTTTAAAAGGGTCAAGTTTTAAAAGGATCTATAGCTTTAAAAAAAAAGTGTATGGAACGAATATATTGAATGATGGCACTACCAGTGTGTTAACAGGAAATAGAACAAAAATTCCAGTGATTCAGAACTTCTGTTAGTTTTTTTTCTCCCCTAAATCTTATCAGTTTCTAATAGAGGGTGCTTAATATTTAAATCTTTAAAGGATCAACTAAAAGTTGAATGTGTTAATTAGATGACTAAGTCATCTACTGCATATACTATGTTACTTCATTTTTCTTTTGGGCAAGTGGAATACCTTTTCTTGAATTCAAAACTATTCTCAGGGAACACTGATGAAATGCATGCCTTTGACTTCTCTTTAGTGAGCTGTCATATAGTGCAACCTGTGCTTTTGTAACTTATTAAGTGTATAAACAGTCACTCTCATCTGATAGAAATTCTCTGAAAAATGTTTTAACTTAATCTGATCTGATTGAAAGAACACCTATATTTGGTCCTCTCTTTACTGAAAAGAAACACTTGCTTTCAACTAATGATATTATTTAAAACTTGCATATAATTATTACATTTAATGAAATCAGGAGGTTTTTAAACTACAAAGTAAGCATTACTCAGATCCCCAGTTACATTATTACTGAGTATTGCTTCTTTAGTATTAGTAACACATTACACTTGGGTAACTGTCTTAAAATGATTAGTTTTATGTCTTGACAGAAATAAAAATTTATTATATTTCTGTACATTTCTCTGTAAGGGAAATTCTTTTCTCAAAATAGTAATTAGGATAAAATCGACATATGTATCTATGAACATATGGCACTGTGCAAAATAGGTGTAATGTACACCATTTACATGAAACTTTGTGTTTCTGTGCCAAAAAAGTCCCATAAGGAATGTGTGAATTTTCTGAAACAGCATTTTTTTTTTAATTGTATAAACTCAAGACTAAAATTTTTTTTTTTTAAGCAATTATCAACATACATTAAAAGGCAATGTTTTACATTGTTGTAGATGTTTTAGGGGAGAAGGAAATGGCAACCCACTCCAGTGTTCTTGCCTGGAGAATCCCAGGGACGGGGGACCCTGGTGGGCTGCCGTCTATGGGGTCACACAGAGTCGGACACGACTGAAGCGCCTTAGCAGCAGCAGCAGCAGCAGATGTTTTGGGGAAAAAGTTCCTGATAATCTTTACAACATATAAAATTTGTGAATTAGACTATAGTTCAGGAAAGCTTCAATTCCTTTGTATCTATCTCTACCTGGCCAGGCTCCTATGACCCAAAGGAGGACAATAGTAGCACTTTTCTATTATGTCACTCATGTCATCTTCATTTAATCCATCTAAGATTGCGACTTTGTGAAATAGAAGGATTATGAGGTAATAACAGAGGCAAATGTGAAAATGGGGCAAAATAGTAATGAGGAAGAAGATAAGGGCTAAGATGCTAGTAGAGGATTAGATGAACAATTTTAGGCAACTAGGAAAATGGAGATGTGAAGAGTGGTGGTTGCCAAGCATAGGAAAGTGATCATGCTGAACTGTTCTAAGGAGATGTGGTCTGACTCTTTTGATAGACTCTCACAATCTATATGTCATATTTTTTAAAATTAGTAAAGAAAAATCAAAGTGAAAGTCTAAATGAAATGCATAACTTTAATGCTGGAATGATAGTAGTAAGTAAGTTTTAATCCTCTGTATTAAGATGGTAAGGATTGGGTGACTGAAATCATATGAAATCTAAATATATGTATTAATATGTGGCTTGTATTTCCAGAATACTTATATAGTATTTTAAGATTTCATTTTTTTCTGGTGAATGACAGAGTGTTGTTTACTCCCTAAGTCGTGTCCAATTCTTTTGTGACCCCATGGACTGTAGTCTGCCAGACCCCCCTGTCCATGGAATTCTCCAGGCAGGAATACTGGAATGGGTTCCCATTTCCTTCTCCAGGAGATCTTCCTGACCCAGGGATTGAACCTACATCTTCTGCATTGGCAGGCAGATTCTTTACCACTGAACCAAGGATGCTGACTTAATCAGAAAGCTAAAATCCCTGAGTAATTACTAGGGGTAGCCAGTACTGTGCTTTATGTTCCCTTTGTGATATGCTTAGTCACTTGGACATGTCCGACCCCATGGACTGTATAACCCACCAGGCTTCTCTGTCCATGGGACTCTCCAAGCAAGAATAATGGAGTAGGTTGCCATGCCCTCCTCCAGGTGATTTTCCCAACCCAGGGATCAAACCCAGGTCCCCTGCATTGTAGGCGGATTCTTTACCATCTGAGCCACCAGGGAAGCCCATGTTCCCTTTAGTTAACTACTAAACTTGCCTGTGATCTTGGTAGAGTTAGAGATTAAGAATGGCTCTTTTTCTTAGTTTTTCTAAGTATTCCATTCCTTAAAACACATTGTTTGGTATTAAGTAGTACTTAATACTAGCCTTCCAGCATTTAAGTTACTCATTTCATTTAGACTTTGATTTTTATTGACTCATTTTGCAAAATATGCTTAGTTTCTAATTTCTGAATCCTCTAAAGGAATGGACTCCTGTTAAAAAGCGCAGTACGATGTTGTCAGCTGAGAAGTTGATGTTTTGGAAGGAGATAGAAGTCAGAATTGCCACAAGTCAAAATTGTGAATATTAATTTCAATAAAGGATTTCTGTGAAAATTGATTTAAGTTTTGGCACTTAAAAAAGTTCTTTGTTTGAAATATAATTTATGTAGACCCCCAATAGATAATGCTTTCTCAATGAGACTTTGCTGAATGTGTCTTTTTTTTATTTGCCTTAACATTTTACTTTAACAAGAAATTCTATTGGATTTCTCATCTGTTTCAGCTCAAAATTTGGTGTCAAGGCAGTGGTAAATTTCTTTTGGCATTTAATATCTTAACATTAACGTTTTTAGTGTTTCCTCCATAGTAAAAGAGAAACTAATATTTGTTGAATACCTACTGGGTGTCAAGTTTTCTGTTATTTCACAAATATTTATTGAGCACTTACTATGTGCCAGGGCTCTTTGAGATGTTGGAGATGACAGCAGTGGATAACATAGACAAGATTTCTGTCCTCATGTAGTTTACATTTTAGTATTGGAAGACATAATAAATGAGGAAAATCAAGTGTGTCTGAGAAAGAAAAGTATGGTGGAGAAATGTAATTCAGAAAAGGGGGTTGGGGAACAGACATTGCCTATCTGCTCTTTTAAAAACTGCATAATGGATATTATATTTGATTTCAGAAACAAAAACTCCCATACATAAATTTTTTTCTTTTAAGAATATATTTCATAACTTGGGAGCGACATTGTGTTTATACTTTGGAGTTTTAATTAATAGCAGTTTGGTGTTGGTAGCGCTTCAGAAAGCTGCTTTTTGGCTCAATAGAAAACTTGGAGTATGCTCTACTGGTTTGAATCCTGATTTTGCCACTTACTAGCTTTGTGATTTGAGATCAACTACAATTTCTCAGCCTCTTTGAGCTTATTTTCATCTCTGAAAAATGAGTGTATCTATAAGGTTGTTACGATAAATCATACATTTTGTGTAAATTATCTAATTTACAGAGGGGGCTCAATAAATTGGAACTTTTTTGTCTGTTGCTTATCTGGAGTTCTATTATAAAACAAACATAGTTGAAGTTGGTAGCCCTTCCAAGAAGCTTTCACAGCACTGTGGGGGACATTGTTTAATACACATTGTATTTGAACAGTTACCACTCTTCTCTGGTAGAATAAGGT